CACTCAGGCCCCGCCCGCTCAGGCCCCGCCCACCCAGGCCCCACCACTCAGGGCCCACCACTCAGGCCCCGCCCATCCAGGCCCAATCACCCAGGGCCTGTCCACTCAGGCCCCACCCACGCGAGCCCCTACCCTGTCTGCAAGGTCGATGGCGTGCCCTGGGTGCTGTTTGAAATTCTGCTCTCTACAACTTGCTGTGTCCCTCAGGGTGACAGTGGTGGTCCTCTGGTCACTTTGAAGAGCAGCATCTGGTGGCTGATTGGGGACACGAGCTGGGGGTCCGGCTGTGCCAAGGCCTACAGGCCAGGGGTGTACGGAAACGTGACGGTATTCACGGACTGGATCTACCGACAAATGAGGGTAACTTTCCTTCCGCCTCCCGACTGGGTTCTCTCCCTCGCTGTGCCAAAGCCCGATGTCCCAAGGCGCGGTCCGGCTGCAGCAAGGTGGCCGACAGCTGTCGGCGAGGTGCAGGCACCGCCCCCTTAACCGCGGTGCGCAGCCAGCGTCACGTCCCTCCCTTCGGGCCTTCACCCGTCGCTGTCGCTGCTGCCGGCCTCCCTGGCACGCTCCCCAGAGGCAGGGTAGGTCCGCGCGAGCCCTCGCGCCCTGCCGGCCGCGCTTAGTTCCCGCTCAGTCGGCTCCACTCAGGCCTCACTAAATCCAGCTTTTGGTGACAGGCAGAGACCAGAGGGACGCAAGTTAGCCAGATGGGTCGTGACTGTGTTCTGTCCTTTCTGGGCTGTGGCGTGTACCCTGGGCAAGTCCCAAAGTCGGGGGGTGTGGGGGGTGGTGTGTGCCCTCGCGCTCTGCCGGCCGCACTTAGTTCCCGCTCAGTCGGCTCCCCTCAGGCCTCACTAAATCCAGCTGTTGGTGACAGGCAGAGACCAGAGGGACGCAAGTTAGCCAGATGGGTCGTGACTGTGTTCTGTCCTTTCTGGGCTGTGGCGTGTACCCTGGGCAAGTCCCAAAGTCGGGGGGTGTGGGGGGTGGTGTGTGTGAAGGAGCAGCTGGAGTTCTCTGGTACAGACAGAGGTTGTGAAGACAGCGTGCCAGGGGACCCCTGTGACCCCGCCCTATGGGACTCATGGCCTGAGCACACCGCTGAGCACAGCCCTCTCCTCTGGCACTGCCTAAATCCGGGGTGGCAGCCAGATCTCACCTCACCTCAGGGGCCCCGGGACTGGCGGTCTTCAAGGCTGGGCTGCCGGCGAAAGAAGATGTTCTATCTTGTCTCCTCTCAAGTGTCCAGCGTGGGGGGCAGGGGAGCTGACCCTGCGTGGGAGGCTGGGTAGCAGGAGAGCTGCACTGTTACCCGCCGGTGCCCGTCAAGCTTGGTTTTTCCCGGCAGAGGCCTGTGTTCCAGCTGTGCTGAGCAGTTGGCTTCCCCAGGCACCCCATGCCCGGCCCCCAGGGACCCTGTGCACATCCCCGCCCCCCGCCAGGCCTGACACACATTGCTGTCCGGTTCTCTGTCTGGAGCTCCTTGGCCTCGTTGTCAGCCTAACTTCTTGACCTACAGGCTGCAGGGAGAAATATCCCTTTGTCCCATTCAGCTTGTTCGTTTTGTGCGTAAGTGCCTTGTGCCAATCTAGGGGAAAAAATCATTTTCCACCTTTGTTTGCCTTAAGAAATAACTTCATCTCTTTTTTCTTTTTGAACAGGCGAACAGCTAAGCCATGAAGGCACCGTTCCACAAGCAAATGAAGGGAGTGGAGGACTGAGTTCCAATTCTTTGTGCATAATACATTTTTAGAAATGATTCGAAGGTCCTTTCACTTTTATTCAATAGTGAACTTGTCTGTCTTTGGCACGCTCCACAGTTCTGTGCAGGCTGCCATGGCTCCTCCCCAGACCTGTGCTCCCTGACCTCTTATCCAAAAGGGGTGACCGGCCGGGCTGGGCGTGGGCACCTAGGGCCAATGCAGAGCAAAGGGATGGAATCTGCCCACTGGGACCTCCCTTCTGAGCCCATTCAGGGCCATATTTGGAGCCACATGGGGCTGGACCTCTTGGCTGCTGGACAGCTTATGATAGAAAAGAAAGCCAGGTGGGACCTGCAGGGGCCACCCTCGGAGGCCTCCGCTAAGGAAGGCCACCGTCAGGGGCCGCCGCTAGGCAGGGCCATCTGGGTAGCTGTCACCCCACAAGAATTTTCACTGATCGTTCTTTAGTGCCTTCTTAACAGCCCTGGAGGGTGGCTGGAAATAAGGGACCGGCCCTTCACGGGTGGTGTCTTGACAGTCACTTGAAAAGGCATCAAAACCTTCTCTTCTTACGGGGGTGAGAGTGTAGACGGAGCCCTTGGAGCCAGGGCCGGCACTGCAGACGCGTTCACCCCCGGGCACGGCTGGGGCAGGTGGCCGCGGCCTGTGGGTGAGGTTCCACCCGGGGAGTCCAGCCACACCCCGACCCTCCTCCCAGCCTCCTTGGAGATCTGCATGCCCACCGTGGTCCTCACAGGAGGGCTGAGTGGGCGGCCGTGCCGACTTTCTTCGGGTCTGCTAATCACAGGAAATTGTCTCCTGGGGAAATCAGGGCTGCGTGATGAAAGGTTTACTGTTTCCACGTGACGTTTCCACACGTTGCTACCTCAGTCCCGGGGGATCGCAGCTGTGACGCTCTGAGTAGTCCCTACGCTTGGTTCTTTGAAGCCGTCGTCCTCGGCACGGACGCTCGAGCTGCTTCCACAGTGACCGGCTCCTCATTTCACGTTCTGTAAATGCGTTTGCTGAAGCACGTGCTCAGGACGGAGCAGAGAAAGGTGTGTTTCGGAGCCCCTGTGGCCCCCTCCAGCCCTTTATCCCCCCACACCCAAGAGAAGGGCCAAGTGGGAGGCACACCTGCTCCCCCCAGGCCCCGCCTCTGCTCACCACACTGGCTTCCAAGGACGGAACACACGGACATGCTACCACGAAGACTTAACCTTGGCCCGACAGGCCGTGCAGCCCCAACCACAGGGTGTTTGCTCCACGTGCCTCAGGGACAGCGACGTCCCCAAGGGCCACAGCGCCGAGGTGCCTGCTTCCCAAGCCGGGATTTAAAAGGCCTCGCCGCCGTGAGAATGTGTTCTTTCCTTAGTGCTTAGTGCTTCTTTTTTATTTATGCGACCGCTGTTTGTCTTCTGTTTTGTATCTTTTTTTAACTGTAAAATTTAATTGTGAAATATTGTACAAATAAATTATACTTTTTTTCCCCAAATATGTTTGGAGTCTTTGGAGCCCTGCTTCACCTCCGATGAGAATGTGCACGTAGGGACACTCACATCCTCTGCCATTCGCATGTTCCCGAAAGCACCGCCAGTATTGATTTGGGGGTTACAACTAAATTTTAGTGAGTAGGCGGCGAATTCACAAATAAGGGGTCTGTGCACGGTGATGACGTACATACCTAAAAATGTCCATGGGGCAGTTGACAATCTTCCATGATCAGTATTTGTTTTGGATTCACCTTGCGAATGGTTTTGCTTTAGAACGAGGTAAGGCTTCACCCAGAGCCTGATTTCGCAAAAAGCCACAAATCCCAGGACCACAGCCCCTTGGGGGCTTCTGTGGCTCCCGCTGGCTTCCACCTGCCAGGTGCGTGTGTCTTTGCTTCTGCTTGACAAGGACAGTGATCGAGGCTGGTGTCCTGTAGCGTGTAGTTAGGCACAAACCCAGAAAGCCATTTGAGCAAGCGCCTTGCGTCTCCCCTCCACCCCCTCCCACCGCACTTACGAAGCACCTGTAGCGTGCCGGATCTCATGGACCCCAAAACGCAGGCTTCCGCTCAGTTCAACTGCCCCCCACCGCTCACCTCGCGCTGCTCCAAACTCAGTTCCACCCTGCGGGTCGACCGAGTCCCAGAGTGCCTGGAGCGAGGGTCCACGAGCGGGCCCTGCTGATCGTCTAGCATATTCTGCGTGGGCCGATGGACCGTCAGGTGGGTACGACTGAGCAGGCAGCAGAATCTGGGGACACAGTACTGATCCTGGCACTGCCTCTCACGGGCGGGAGACTGGGGCGTGGGTGTAGGAGGGCCCGAGCCCTGCCGCCCTCTGAAGGGGTCACCCAAAGTGGACTCCGGGGCCCTGAGCGCTTGGAAGCAGGGACAGTGCTTCCCTCTGGATGCTGGTCTGGTAGGGACAGGCTGGGCACGTGCCCAGATCGACTGCCCGGGAAATCCCTGGTCTGAGCACCTGACACCAGCTTCCTTCCTCCACCCTCTCTGGGAACGCCAGGAAAACTCACAGCGAAGAAGGGTACCGCCACCTCAGTTTCTGGCCTGGGCAGAAACTTCCTCGGAGGCAGGACGCCTGGTACCGGGACAGTGACTCAGGGGCGCCCTTCACCGTGATCGACGGTGGTTCCCAGCCCACCTGCGGGCGGGCGTCTGGCCCCTGGGGGAGGCGCAGTCGGTGCTGATTAGACCTTGAGCAGGGCTCTTGTTCCCCCGGCACCCCCAAGCCTCAGTGAATTCTCAAGCTGGCTCAGAGCACGGAGCCTCGGGGAGCGTCAGAAAGGATCTGAGTGGGGGAGGGGATGGCGTAGCTAGTGCACCCCTCCCGCCCCCACAGGCCCCCACAAGTGGTTGTCCAGCTTGACCAGAAGCGCCCCGCCTCCCGCAGCCTGGGAGCCCCGCCCCCCTGAGGCAGGCGCCTCTGTCCGCCAGGCCCTGGTGTGGAGTGGGTCTCCCTGGGGGACGCTCGCTCGCGGCTCGGCCTCTTTGGCAGGCGGCTCACAGCTCTTCTCTGTTTGTCCCCTGCCCTCTCCTCTAGGGTTGTGGTGCTTCAACTCTCACTTTAAAACACGTGGCACAGGCTTTTGTCGAGCCCACCCCCACCCCAGCGACAGCCCACTGTCCACTATCCTGCTGCTGAGCCGGCTGTGGCCAGGGGTCTGCGAGTGTCCCCATCACTGCTTAGAGCAAGGAGGAGTCATACTGTGCCAGGCTCCAGGGTGATGGTTAACATCCCACCGTCTCTGCTTCCCGCCCTCCGCCCCGGAGCACCTGCTTGCTGGGCCACTTCCCCCGACCTGGGCTTTTATCTTCGACCCCAGGCAGGTGCCGAGGGGCCGAACAGACTGGGCACTGGGTCGGTGCACGTGGTCGTGGACGTGGTCGTGGACGTGGTCTGCTTCGCGCTGCTTCACTCTGCCCCCACTTCCCCTCGGCCCCCTGCAAAAGAGCAGACCGCGACCCCTGACCGACCCGCTCCTTCCCACCGGGCTGGGCGGGCGGCATCTGCTCCCTGAGCTCTTGCCTGCTGACATTTCCAGGCTTCTCCCCCAAATAATAAAACAAAAGTGTCAGAGAAATGTCAGTTAGAAATGAGTTTATTGCAGATGGGCGAGGTGCGGCTCCCACGGCATCCACGCACATGGCGTGAACATGGCAAAGAACAGGAACGAGCCCCTGTATGGCGCTCATGGGCGTGGTCTCAGGCAAAGACATGGAGAGAGTTTGGGGAGCAAGAATGATGGGGGGGCAGGGGGATCATTTCTCCTAACCAGGAAGGTGGCGTCATCGTCCCACCTAAATCGCGTCCCTTGCGAGAGCAGGCCTCGAGTCTCTGCTGGAAACCCAGTGGCCCTGCAGCTTCTCACGGGTCCTTCTCCACTAAGCGGGGGTGGGGGGGGT